GAAATGGACTTCCCCTCTCATGGTAAGTGACATTTCTCATGGGACATTCCATTCTCTCAGGAAACCCCCTGCTCCCTGCAGCCCCCTACCCAGACATTTTTTTAGTGTCTTCACATCCAGTTCAATTTCAGTTTTGCATGAAAGAGTGAATAACAAAAAACAAAGAAAACCAGTGCAAAGCTCTGTACTAGAGAAGAGGTCACCAGTGACACTCGGCAGGCAGGCAGGAACATAGTTAAGGAGGGCCGCCTTAGCCCAGTCACTTCCCTGAGAGGCGGCTTCCCTTGCCTCCCTTTTGTCTTCACTTCTGGGCTGCCCCCTGGCCCCTGCAGGCATTTGAAGAAGCAGAAATGTGCATCAGAGTGGGTGGCTGACAGAGCAGGTGCAGTAAATGCAGATGGTTGGGATCCTCTGCACAGGGACACTTTGTGGCCATTTCCTGCTGTCCACAGGATGGCAGCCCACATGGTCATTCTGAATAGGATTTTAAGAGAGTTGGAGACCTCAGAAAGAGTACCACATACAAGGAAAATAGTAAGAGCTTCTGGTCATGTCTCCTTATGCCCAGGTGAGTTAGCCTGAGAAAGCAATGGCCAAGCTCTGGCTTACAGGAGTCCTGTAGACACTGATGAAAATGATGATGATTCCCCTGGGATTAAAAAGGCATTTGTGGTTCAGATTTTGTCAATTGTTTTGGGCTGGAATCATCAACCATAAAATGTTGTGTTTGTTTTGTTTCGTTTTTAAACTATGAAAAGTTTGAAGGGCCTAGTTTGTTGTCCCAGGTAGACCTTCCTTTGTAGAGACAGGCAAGTACATGGGCCATTCTACACACAGAAAATAACCAGAAGCAATTTCCATGATGGCCGTGCATAAGTCAGGCATGGTCTCTTAACCAAAGATCAAAGAACACCACGATGCCAAGAGGCAGAACCACAGAGAGGACTGTGCTCTGCCAAGTACGGCTGTGCCTATAGACCAAGGGATGGAGTACAGCAATACATGGAAGCATTATGTGCAAAGGCTCTCTCCTCTCCTCTTCTCTTCTCTCTCTCTCTCTCCCCCACGCCCCGTCTTCTCTCTCTCTTTCTCTCCTCTCTCTGTTGAGTATGTCCTCTATCTGTTTCAAAACCAAAAGACAACAGGACTTTGGTTACTCCTAGAGAGCCATCTCACATGGAAACTACATTGCTCAAGAAAAAAAAAGATGGGGGGATGCTGCATTGATGGTATCTCGGCATATAAAAGGATGGATTATTTGTGATCCTCATGCCTGGACAAATTCAGATTCAACAACCTCCCACATGTGTTTCTTTCCTAAATTGACAAACATCTACATGGTTCCCCACAGACTAGGAACCAGCTTAGATTGATTAACAACTGGCCCCTGCCCTCAGGCAGCTATCATCTGGGGGAAAACAATAGTTGTCCTGAGAATACACAGGCATATATGTTAGGATAATAACAATGCGACCTCCAGATTTTAGGAACTAGGGCTCTGTCTTATTTCCCCTTTGCTTGATACTGTTTTATAATCCGCCTGACAACTTCATTCCTGCAAACATCTGCCAACCCTCCCAGGAACTCTGTCCACAGACTTCTGTTGACTTCCAGCTAAATGCCTGACAGCATTTTCCCTCTACCTGCTCCCAGATTCTCTGCCACCCTGCTCACTTACCTGGATATCCGTTTCTCTTGCTGTTCTTCCCTGACCGCACACTCTCCAGATATCTGTGCTGAGATCTGAGCTTCCCAAATCTCTTAAGCGAAAGGAGGAAACCATGTTCATAATCATTAGACTGCTTGGAAGGCTGGAAATTGTTAGCTTTGAAGGGTTGAGGTTGTACACCGCAGGGTTCATCCTCGTGGTCAGGGTGCTCTGCAGGACTCTGGAACTCAGGAGTTCAATTGGGCAGCCTCTCTCTGGACAATGCTGGAGAAACAGAAAATGTTTTGTACTTTTGCTTCCTAAGTTCTAGGCTCCACCTTTTTTCTTCTTTCCACAATTCATTAGTTTCTAGCTTTCTTTTACTTTCAGTCATGCTTTGGCTAGATTGGCTCCTCATTTTAACTTCTTGTTCTTAATTTGTTCAGAATAAACAAGTGTGGCTTAAGAATTCTGTAGAGAACTAACATGATCTGCGTACATTTAGCTGCTTATTGAGGAGGGGGTTGGAGACATTTCTGATTGTTAAGACTGAGAGGGTGCTACTGGAATGTAATGAGCAGAAGTCAGGGATGCTTCTGAACATTCTGCAATGCACAGGACAGCCCTCTAAAAGAAAGATTTATCTAGCCTCAAATGTCAGTTTTGCCGAGGTTGAGAAACCCTGGATTGGAATGTGTTCAAGGGGCCAATGAAGATTACATAATTACTTTTCCCTTGGGCAGAGGTTAATCTCAATTCTCTATAGGTGTTAGTGAAATTACCACTAACACCTGTAATGATTTGGCTGACTCTAATGTTTGAGCTTCTGTTTGTGGGCTTTTACACACCGCCACCTTAGTTATTCCTCACTAAATACACTACTAACCAGATACATTTAACCATGTGTAAGTATGGATTCGGCTAGCCTATAGAATTTGTAGACCATTCCTTATTGTGCACACATGAAAGCTTCACTTTTTGCGTTGTTGCCCAAATTTGTGATGCTGGCAGTACTGAGAGGGGAAAATAGCAAGAAGAAAAATGGAAGTAAAAATCTTACACAGTGTGAAAATCCACTGGGCTTGTGATGCCTTATCATTTTTATGTATGAGATAAAACACAAATGAATAGAGATGCTACTTTGGATGTGAAATATGTCAGCTTTGTTGAAGAGTTTCCTTTTCTCCTTTCCATAGTCAAGAGCTAGGGAGTAAAAGTTACATAACTATAAGACATGAACAATTGGTAATTATTATTATAATAAAGAGAGGTAGGGGTAGGTTCCAGGGTTAGGGTGGAGGACAGTATAGGGAGTTTTGTGGCAAACCTCTCAACCCCACAAAACCAGTAAGTTTTTTTTTAAAAATCTGACTCTTCTGGCTTCTGGTGTTAATAGTCTTCTCTTTTCCCATTTAACCAAAAAGAAACATTTTGAGATTTTGATTGGAGCTCTGGGCATGTGGACCTTTTGGGACCATACTAAATGCTGATTTTGACTGTAAGGAGGAAGCCATGGCAGGTTCTGAGCTTAGGGGGAACTGTCAAGCAGATGGTCCAAGCTGGAGAAATATATCTGTAAGAAGAGTATGAATAAGAGAAGAAATATTCCAAGCAGATGACAGAAGAAAAAAATCAGCATAAATTTGTCATTAAGTACCAGTTTATCAACTGGTTGTGTTCTTAAATGTTCATCTGACTCTTGGATGAACAGCCCAAGGAGGGTAGAGGGATGCAGAAGTAATTCATTGATTGCTGGAGAGAAGCTTCAAAAATTCACAGTTTAATGCTCTTGTTTTAAAAAGGGGAAAAAAAAAGGTAGCTTTAAAAAATTGATCAACTTGCTCAAGACCTTAAAAATTAGAAATAGAGGCTGATAACTGGGATTCTCGAGGCAGTCCACTAACCATTCTGTGCTGTCTCTAAGGAGGAAGGCAGGAAAAGCAGTTACACAATGGCAGTATGGAGCAGAGTTGAGGGCAGGCTGTCCAAGTGACTGAGCCTTAGGTGGGAGAAGAGGAAGAAGTAAAGGTGGTAAAGAAGGAACACTCCCAAAACAGGAGGCAGAAATGGCACTCTGGGTCTGGGTCCCATTCGACCTACAGAAGACACACAAACACATATTGAGTGAGGTTTCTACATGTGGGGTTTTGATATCATTTGTTGCCTGGAAGATACGGTGTACAAGGGGAGAAATGGCAACAGATGGAGTCTGCAAGCTCTTTCCAAACGTTCACATTCCTCAGAAACTCACCCATTTTCTCAGCCACAAAAATTATTATTTGTCAAATATTTATAAAATCAGTATTTTGTGCTAGATTCTGTCCCAGGCCACATGGCTGTAGTATTAAATAAAACAATTTTTTTTCTTTAATCTGAAAGTGGCTGGCTAGTGAGACAAATGAAAGCAAATACATATGACATTTTCCGATCAATAATACAGAGTAATATGATAGTGACTGGAGGGCCAACTTGGAATTTGGTGGTTAGGAAAAGCCTCTTAGGAGAGAGGGCATTTGGGTTGAGACCTCAGAGATGAGGCATCAATGCAGAGAGCTGGGGGTCAAGGTATCTGGATAGAGAACACAGCCCAGCAAGCCTGACAGGTTCAAGGAACACACGAGAACAGCATGTCTACAACTCACTTAGCAAGAAGATAAAATGAGGTCAGCAGGGGTGAGCCAGGGCACATCAGATTGATGCATGTACTCATTCAGCAAATATGTATTAAGCACCTACTATGTTCAGGATATTGTTAAGAATACAGAAATTAAACAGAAAACCACTTGCTCAAGGATTCTGTCCTCGGAGAGAAACTTAAGAATTTGGTAAGATTAACAGAATACCCAAAACAATTCTGCTACATGTTAGAAAGTGATCCACTCCAGACAGAACCACAATGCAGACACCAAGGGGACATACACCGCCTAAGGCCATGAGGTCTGAGGTCTGCGATGCAGCCATCTGCTCCCCCAGGGTAGGGAGGTCAGGCCTCCCCGGGGTGAGTCACGTAGCCCACCACTCCCCACCGGGCGAGCCTTCTCGGTCTTGGTGGATGGGGTAGGGCCGCAGGAAATCCCCCGGCCTAAATCTGTCGCACTCAGAAAACCCAAGCAGGGGAGCCCCCAGAGACCAGGGCTCTGATTAGCACCTGATTCACGGAGGCAGCCAAGGCAGGGCAGCGACTGCTGGTAACTGGCCCCAGGAGTCGCCTCGGGGGAAAAGGCCAAAGGGGACCTGGGGACCCCCGACCTTAGAGCCGGCTCGGACACACCGCAGCCGGCAGGTCAGGGCAGCGCCTGCGCGTCCGCCAGGCCCCGCCCCCCCGGCCCCGGGTGTCCCGGCGGGGCGGTTGGGCAGCGCATGCGCTCTGTGCTCCAGGGCTGGCCGCCGGGAAGCCGGAGCCGAGCACCTCACCAGCCCGGCAGTAGGAACCGGGGTCCGCGGGGGCGGAGTGGGGCGCGGCCGCCGGGAACCTGACTACAAGTCCCAGGGTGCGGACAGGCGGACAGAGGAGGAACGCTGGGCCTGCCCGGTGCGCACGGGGGCGGGGACCGGCCAGGCGGGATCATTTCCCGGCACAGACTCCGGTGCCCTTGCCCTGCTCCCGCCGGGAAGTTCCGAGCCGACGCACTGAAAGCCCTGCCTTCCACACCGGGTCCCTGGAGCGCCCCGGGCCGGTCTCTGCCGCTGACTTGTTGACACTGCCAGCACTCAGTCGCTCCTTCCCGCGCGCCTCCTCCCTCCCCGCCCGCCCCGCCGCTCCTCCTCCCTGTAGCATGTCATAGTGAGCCTGCGACCACGCGGCCAGGGGCGCTAGCGTTCGCCTTCAGCCACCATGGGGAATGGGATGAACAAGGTAACGTCTCTCCCTTATTCGCGCTGGGTTTGTCTCCGCTCTTTATCCTCCTCTCCGGCAGGTGCCGGCCGCCGGTCCCAGCTGCCCCGCCTTCTCGCCGGCGTCCGCTCCCCGGCCACTCGAGCCCGGGTGTCCCTTCCCGCGGTGGGGACGGGCGCGGAGGGAGGGGCGGCGCGCCGGGGCGGTGTCTGCCTTGTCGGGGTTCCGAGGTGTTCCCGCCCCCACACCCGGCTTCCGGGTAGGCAGCCCCCCGCCACCAGCCTCGCCCTCTGGTGCGTTTTTGTGGCTGAAACAAGCCGTGCCCTTTAAAAGTGTTGACACTTGTTCTGCCAGATCAGCTGAGCTCGGAATGGATGTGGTTTCTTCTTTTTTCCCCTCCCTTCGCTCCCAAACTACGCTCTTGAAGCATCACCCCCCACATCATTAGTAAACGGGCATAGATGGGTGTCCTCTGTAATTTCCTTTCTCCTCATATTCTGTGTGTGTGCCTGTAAGCTCAGATAAGTTTTTCTTGTGGACAGAGAAGTTAGGAGCCCTGAGTGTTGCTAGACGAGTGGGAAGGAGAGAAAAGATTCCGAGTTGATTAGGTTATGTGACTTCTGCCACACGGGCAACCTGTTGCTGGCTGTTTGCGCTGGTGAGGCCTTCCAGAAAATCTGTGTTGCTCCACTTTGTCCCGTTTTTGGGCCCCAGCCTGTGTTCCTTGGTTTGCCCACTCCTCACTTCCCAGGCGGTGGGAGAGCCTTTCCTGTCCAAGGAAGTTGCTGGATTCCAGCTCTTGCAGCTGATAGTTGCTGGAGTGTATTCATGTCAACAACAAGGTTAAGCATTTTGGTACTTGGTACTTGGCTGGTTTTAAGGAATGGTTCACAAGACTTCACAAAGCCCTCAACAAGGACAACTACCTTTTTACAGGTCTTTGAATGGTCCTGGATTAGATGAGTCGTCTTTCTGCTTCTCTTTTTCATTGTGCTCCACCCACCCACCTGTCCGCCTACTGTCAGCTTCCACACTGGGTGGGGATGGCGATGTGACTGTGTTGTTTTTCATGCCCCTCAGCACTGGGCCCGCAGTGGTTTGGGTCTTGGACCTGGAGTATTCCACATGAGGATTCAGGGTAGGGAAGAGAAAATGCGGTGGGGGTCAGTGGGGGGAAAACGTGTCTAACTTCTCACATGCCCTGTCCTGGTTACTCAATTTATGAAAGCACTATTGGGTGTTTGGGGCCTGCATATCAGTACTGAGGTATTTTGGTAAACAGAATTGTATTCACTTTTTTTTTTTTTGGCGAGTGATCAAGTTTGGAAACAGACTCTCTCTCTCTTGGATAAATACTTGTATTATGTTCCCATGAGCACTGGAATCCATCAGCACCACGAGCCTTATGCTTTTTAGATTAAAACAACAATAAAGATGGTCATCATAAGTTTATGGGCTCCATTTTGCCTTCCCATTGATGATGGTGGTGCCTCAGCTTTCCTTTGTTATTTCTTCAGTTTTTCCCACTTGAGCTGTTCACTCTCCACAGTTTTCAGCATTTAATTCGAAGTATTTGTGTAATACAATTCAAAAAATATATTTAGGAATACAGATGTTTGCCTAAGGGATCAACATTATTTTCATGCTTTTCAATTAAAGCATGAAAATAATGTTGATCCCTTAGGCAAACATCTGTATTCCTAAATATATTCATATCATACTTTGTACCTTTCAAAATGAGTAATAAATTTCTTAATGATTATTTTATTATCTTGTATTGTGAATAGAGACTCCATCCACAGTGTATAAATGAAGAAATAAGCCAGGCGCAGTGGCTCACGCCTGTAATCCTAGCACTTTGGGAGGCAGATGCTGGCGGATCACGAGGTCAGGAGTTCAAGACCAGCCTGGCCAATGTGGTGGAACCCCGTCTCTACTAAAACTACAAAAATTAGCTAGGTGTGGTGGCATGAGCCTGTAGTCCCAGCTACTAGGGAGGCTGAGGCAGAAGAATCACTTGAACTGGGAGGTGGAGGTTGCAGTGAGCTGAAATCAGGCCACTGCACTCCAAACTGGTTAACAGAGCGAGACTCTGTCTCAGAAAAAATAAAAATAAATAAATAAATAAAAATAAATGAAGAAATGTATGTATAGAGAGATTTAGACACTTCACTGCTTCAACACATACTTATGATGCACATACTATAAGCCAGGTGTTGTGCTAGTGGGTGGGGAGGGAGGAAGAGGGAGTGCAGTGGTAAACCACCCAAAGATCCTTCACAGAACCTTCAGTAGAGACCAGCACTTGTCTAGCACTAACATGATGTGAGCCATATATGTAATTAAAATGTTCCAGTAGCCACATTAAAAGATAAGCAGGTGAAATTAATTTTAATATATTTTACTAAACTGAATATATTAAAATATTATTTCAGTGTGTAACCAATATATAAAATTATTTGTAGATTTCGTGTATTTTACTATGTCTTTGTGAAAAGAAAAATCCAAGGATGCCCAGATCGCTTGTATTTTCAAAGCCTAGAATGTATTTTATACCTAAATCTCATCTCATTTTGGACTAGTCACATTTGAAGGACTCGATAGTCACTGTGGCTAATGGCAGCTGTGTTGCACAACACAGGGTGTGTATGTGTGTGGGAGTGTGTGAGAGAGAACAAAGACAAGGTAGGGAGGAGTAGAGGCTCCAGAGGAGAAAATAGGCAATTTTTGAAAAGTGGGGAAAGCCGAAGATGGGATGAAAGTGAACTAGAAGGGGCATTCAGCCCAGGCAATGAATCCTGCCACAGTAGTTTAACGTGGGATCAGGAGGAATTACCCCAAATCACCAGGTTAGTTAGTGGGAAAGTAGATTGATGGAGGCCAGTAACTAAGAACCTTAGCTAGAATTTTTCCATACATTACTGTGTGACTTGGAACAAGACTTCATACTTTTCCCAACTGTAAAAAAAGAATGGTTGATTTGCAGAATCCAGGGAAGGTACTAACCCTAGAACTGCTTTTCTAAGAACATTTATAAATATTTGCAGTGCCTTTGGAACTAACATAACTTGAAATGTGTGTGCCCTGATGTTACTGGGACAAGATTTCTTTCAGATCTCATATCGATTGGTCATTTCTGGCAAAAGAACGTTTCTGGTCTAAACAGTGTAGGCTCTGTTCTGACTGCTGTGGGACAGCAGTTTTTATTATTTCACATTCCCATGGTGGCTTTTTTTTTGTGAGTACGTTCCGGTCTCCTGGATGGCAGAATATTGTGCCCATTTCAGTTAGGTATATACAGCAGATTATACAGAAGATAGAAGGGAAGAAGGCTTTTATATTCTAGACAATTAAAGATGAGAAAATGAAAGCAGGACTAGGTATGGTGGCTCGCACCTATAGACACAGCACTTTGGGAGGTTGAGGAAGGCGGACTGCTTGAGTTCAGGAGTTTAAGACCAGACTGGGCAACATGAAAAACCCAGTCTCTGCCAAAAATACATACACACAAATATTAGCCAAGTGTGTGGTGGCATGCTCTGTAGTTCCAGTTACTTGGGAGGCTGAGGTGGGAGAATCACCTCAGTCCGGAAAGACTGGGCTGCAGTGAGTTGTGATTGTGCCACTGTTTAAAAAAAAAAAAGCAACACTGCAGTTGTGAACCCCCTTTTTTTTTTGCACTTTATAAAATCTCAGCTTCATGATAGCCTTATGAGGTCAGATGACCTGATCTTTGCTCCGATTGGAGAATGGAGATTTGGAGAGGTTAGGCAGCATAAGTAAGGTCCAGTGCTAAGAATGGGGAAACTGGGTTTGAACCCCAGTTTCCATTGATTTTGAAGTTAGGAAAGATCTTTCCTTTGAGCTGGGATACTAATTAATACTAAGTCAATTTTAAAGTTCCTAAAAAGTAACTTGAAAAGCTCCTCATAGTTTCAGTTACATGTTAAATAGGCAAAATCACCTCCTCTCTTCCTTCATGTTTGACATTGATAAAGAAGGGAGTAAAAGGCAAGCAACTAAAACTATTTTTTTTATTGTGTTTGTGTGTTTGTGTGCGCAATTCCCAAACAGATGCCCCATGCTGGACAACATTACAGTTACCAAAGAGTTTATTGTGTGTTTGAGTACATCACCACATAGAGTAAGCCACTACTCCATGAAGTAGTTCCTGTTATTTTCATGCTTATTTCTTGGTGTATACAGAGGTTAAGGGAACTGCCAGGGTCACGCAGCTGGTAAGTAGCAAAGCCTGGACTCAAAGCCACAGTCTGACTAGGCCATAATGCAGAGTGCCTTATTATGCTGCTAAGATATTAGTCTAGTTAATGTCTCTGGTAAGATTAGGGTTAAACTAAACAGGCTGTTGGATGCAAATGTCATGTTCCTATGGAGCCTTTGAACACTCCTAGTTGACTCAAAGTTCTCTGAAGAGTCTGAACCCTCAAATCTTTTGGGAGAGAGCCTGAAAACAAAACTCCTATCCTCACTGTCTATTATTAGTTTTCAGTATTATACCCCATTAACAACAAAACAAACGACTAATCTCTAGCCAAACACGTCAGAGAAGGCTGCCCCAAATGCTTCTCATGTGTAAGAAGTCTTTACCTTGATCCTCCTAAAAGTGGGCTGAAGCCTTGCCATTCTAGGGCAGGATATGCGGACCCTCTGGTTGACGTCTTGTCCTCCACTGACTGCCAGGGTTTATTTAGCTCATCAAGCATCCGGCCTGCCTGGTCTTGTGGCCTCTTCCTCCCTCCCTGCTTTGTGTCCTCTGAAAGCATCCTGCCTGGTGGGAACGGCTGCCATCTCCGTACTTCTTGGGAAGCCTCTCATGGTGCTGGGAGGCCTCACTTCAGTGGGTGCATCTTGTTTCTGTGGGGAGCCCACTGTTGTTAAGAGGGGCTGGTTAACAAAAAGCCTCATCTGGGGCACCTCCACCACTTCAGGGGTGTGATCTGGAACAAATCACTTAAATGTTTCTAAGCTTCAGGATTTTTTTCCTTCCTGGTTTCATAGAT